GATAGATAACTACATCATGTTAGTGAAAGGGTAATGGGAACTGGGCATTTCTACTTGGAAACTTTCACAGAATCTTTTTGAAATGGGGCATTTTTACAACTCCTAAAACTAAAAATAAAATAAATAAAACAGGATTGAGAGTATTGAGGTTTAATGCGAGAAGATAAAATAACAATGAGAGAAATCTGTTTTACATAATGTTTGGATTTTTTAAATAATGTGGCCTTATAGCTATGTGGATGTGTTTTCAAACACCTGAATACTGCAGAGTTCATGTTCTTCAGGTGAGTTTATATGTGTATGTATATGCATATATATGTAATATATAATATTATATATACCCTGTGTGCACAGGAAAGGAAATATAAAATATAGGAGTCACTCTAGGTAGGTTAACTCTACTTTATTGCTATCATTTTATTTATCAATGTGGAAAGAATTTCTGGCAAAAGGTGAGAACTTAAGTTTGTTAAGTGAAGACCCCAGATCCCTTGGAAATATGAAAAGTTATGATGCTGTATAGTGCATTTCAGGGAGACATTCAGAGTTACAGAAACACTGAGAGTTTAAATCATAATTAGCAAAAAGTACAGCAATAAGAGTTTGGAGCAGCATTTAATAGACCCCAAGAGACACTTTATGTCTGACAGAAGGCTGGATTTTTAGCCCATCACTGTGGATTTAAGAATGTGGAAATAAGGACCAACAGTTAGGGTCATGGCTATGTCGCTGAACTCCCATGTAGTCAACTGTGGTTCAAGTCCTGAACCCAGCGGCTTAAATTCACACCAGGCATGTGGAACCGTGTGCTCAAGATCCCGAGAGAATGGAGGAGAAGGGATTGTGGTGTGGCCATCCCTCCTGGGGGGTGATTTCTTGCTTCTGTCTCTCTGTCTCTCTCTGTCTTTCTGGCAAGCACACATGCCCTATAGCAAAAACTTCTCCAAAAAAGAAAAAAAAAAAAAAAGAACGTGGAAACAGAATTTCCTTGTTCTTCATAGATCATGTAGTAGATGAAGGATGCAAGAAGAATATTCAGAGAGATTAATCAATTATTTTTATCTTGGGCCAACATTTTCAGAGTGAGTTTACTCTGCCTGGTGTTGCATGGGGTGGTCCATTTCCTCAGAGAAAAACTGCAGAAAATAGGTTTTGAGAATTGTGAAGTGGTGGTCACACATTTCCAAGATTAATATTCTATTTAATTTTTTATTTTAATTTCTTTTATATGTGTAATCACATATATCACTTAGCTTGTAAAGTGAATGTTCCAACATGAGTACATTTTTCATCAGTTTAGTTGGTGATACTATACATATTATCATCAACAGATCATAACTCATTTGTCCCGTAAATGTCTTGCCTCTCTATTTTTCTCCTTAATGTATTTCCTCAGACTCCCCCCATTCTCTCACCCTCTTCCCACAGTATATCTGGTATCTATAATCATTTCATGTTTCTATATCCTCTAGTCATTCAGTTTTGACCATAGAGGGTGGGGACAGTCAGTATATATTAAGTGGAGACATACAATGTCTCTCCTTCATAGACTGGCTTACTTCACTCAACAGTAAATCTTCCATATTCATCCACTTTCTGTCAAAGGCCAGGGTCTTGTGTTTTGTGGCTGAGTAGTATTCCATAGGCTATATGTGCAATGCTTTTTTAATCCATTCCTCAGTTCGTGGGCTTTTGGGTTGGTTCTATATCTTAATAACTGTGAATAATGCTGCAATAAACATAGATGTTCAAGCACCTTTCTGACTAAGCATTTTTCCACCCTTTGGATATATACCAAGGAGTGGAATTGCTGGATCATGTGGTAGTTCTACTTGTAGATCTTTGACGAATCTCTATATTGTTCTCCACAGTGGCTGGACCAATTTACATTCCCATCAGCAGTGTAGGAGAGTTCCCCCTTCACTACATCCCCACCGGCACTTACCTTTTTTTTTATCTTAGTCATTCTGACAGGGGTTAGGTGATATCTCATTGTTGTTTTGATCTGCATCTCCCTTATGATGAGGGATGTTGAGCATTTTTCAGGGGGGCGGGTACCAAAACCTGGGAACGAGGAGCATTTTTTTATATGCCTTTTGGCTATACATATGTCTTCCTTAGAGAGTTGCTTTTTCAGCTCATTCTTCAATTTTTTAATTGGGTTGATCATCTTTTTCCTGGTAAACTGCTTGAGTTTCCTATGTATTCTGGTTATCAGTCTCTTATCTGAAGCATAGTTTACAAAAATATTTTCCCATTCCAAGGACTGTTGATTCATGCTAATTACTGTGTCTTTTGTTACGCAAAAACTTTTTTTTTTGAGAGGTTTTTGCTATAGGGTGCGTGCACTCGCCAGACAGACAGAGAGAGAGACAGAGAGACAGAAAGCGAGAAATCATCCCCCGGGGGGATGGCCATGCTGCAATCCCTTCTCCTTCGTTCTCCTCTCGGGATCTTGGGCACACACACACACGCCCCCAGTGTGAGTTTTAAGCTACCGGGTCTGGGATGCAAACCGCGGCCGACTACGTGGGAGTCCAGTGACATAGCCATTACACTAACTGCTGGTCCCTCATGCAGAAACTTTTTAATCTGATGTAATCCCATGATATATCATCTTTTTTACATGCTGTTGGATACAATTTGCTAGTATCTTGTTGAGACTTTTTGCATCTATATTCATCAGAGATATTGGTCTATAGTTTTCTTTCCTTGTCCTGTCCTTGTCTATTTTAAGGGTGATGGAGGCTTTATAAAATAAATTTTGAGAGAGTTCCATCCTTTTGGATCTTTAGAAATAACTTGAGTAGAATGGGGTTAACTATTCTTTAAAATTTTTGTAGAATTCAGAGGTGAACCCATCAGGACCAGGACTTTTCTCTGTTGGGAGGTTATTTATTACTGATTCAATCTCATGGCTTGTTATGGGCCTATTCAGACTTTCTATGTCCTCCTGACTCAACCTTGGTAGATTAGATGTGTCCCGGAATTTGTTCATCTCACCCAGGTTTTCTTGTTTGTTGACATGTAGTTGTTCATGGTATCCTCTAATGATGTTTTGTATTTCTACTATGACTGTTGTTATATTGCCTGCTTCATTGAAAATTTGATTTACCTGGTTCCTTTGTCTCTTCTTAATTAGTCTAGCTAGTGATGTGTCAATTTTAGAATTAAACTTGATATGAATTTCAGGAAAAATCTCAAAAATACACAAATACATGAAAACTAAATAAACTACTACTGAATGACTTTACAACTACTAAAGAAATAAGGACTGAAATAAAAAGATTAATGGAAGCCAATGATAATGAGTACATGACTTTCCATAATATTGGGACACTGCAAAAGCAGTCATAACACTTAGTCCATTCAATTTTTAGCTTTCAGAATGAAGCTCCTAAAAACTCTGTTCATTCTCAAATCTGCTAACAGGGTAAAGTAGTTAATCTGGTACATACAACCCTGTGCAAAGAGACCAACAGATGGTGGAATGGTTACATCACTGGACTCCCATGTAGTCAATCTTGGCTAGAGTCCTGGACCCAGTAGCTTAAAACTCACACCAGGCGTGTGTGCATGTATGCCCAAAATCACAAGAGGAGAATGGAGGAAAAAGAATTACAGCATGATCATCCCCCCGGGGGGTGAATTCTTGATTTCTGTCTTTCTTTCTTTCTCTGTCTTTCCAGTGAGTATACATGCCCTATATAAAAACATTTCTCTTAAAAAAAATTTTAAAAAAGACCCTGAGCAGAATATGATAAAACTAGTCAATTTTGTGACAAGACAATGAAAAATTTATTCCCAAGTTTTGTTTCCTACCATACATTTCTTTCCTTTTAAGGCACTAACTTACTATGTCTGTGCTTTTGCTTTAAAACTGTATACCCTACTCATACACCAAGTCTCATTTCCATGGAGTCATCTTCATGAAATGTTCCTAAACTTTAAATAAGCTACTACTGGGGCCAGCAGATGGTTAAAGGGTTGGACTCCCTCATGGTCAACTATGATTTGATTCCTAGACCCAGGTGGCTTGAAACTCATGTCAGGTATATGTGTGTGCATGCCTAAAATCCCAAGAGGAGAATGGAGAACGGTTTTCAGTGTGGCCATCAACCCTGGGGGGTAATTTCTCATGATCATTCTCACCATCTCTCTCTGTACCTCTCTGGTGTATACACCCTATAGCAAAAGGAAACTTGAAAAAGAAAAAGCTATTGCCTTTAATTTTATCCCCACAGCATTCTTTTGATCTTATCTTAAAATACTTAATTTTTAATTGCACTTTTATCATTGTTCTCTTTGCCTGCATTATCTGTTAGTGAATTTCCAATTATTTATTTATTTATTTATTTATTTATTTATTTTTTTTTTTTTTTTAGGAGAGACGAGGAGTTTTTGCTATTGAGTGCGGAACCAGTTTCCAATTATTTATTTATTTATTTATTTATTTATTTATTTTTTTTTTTTTTTATGGAAGAGACTGAGTTCTACACATATTGTGGAGTCTGGGAACAGAGTTTGCCCAGAATAGTCATTTAATGAATATAGAAGAAAATAAGCTGAGGCAATAAAGTGGGGGAAGAAAAGTATGAGAATATTGCATCCATGTTGTAATCTAATCACTTCAGGTTTGAATGTGTGTAAACAATCTTTCTGCCCTCACAAATGGATTAATGAGGGCTCCGCCTTTATGCATAGATGAATGTCACTATGATGGAATTATAAAACCAAGCTTTCTCTTGCTCGCTCTTACCCTCTCACCATGTGATACCCTCTGCCACATTATGACACCACAAGAAGGCCCACAGCAGATGCCAGAACCATGCTCTTGGACTTCCCAGCCTTCAAAACTGTGAGATAAATAAACCTGTATTCTTGGTAGGTTACACAATGTATGGTATTTAGGTACAGCAACAAAAAAAAGAATGAAGACAATCACAATGTCCCAAATACTTTTTTAAGTATCAGAAATCACTGCTTCTGAATGAAGACTATCAGCCTGTCAGCTTCCTGAGAGCCCCTTTCACATCCTTGTTCCTCAGGCTATAAATGATAGGGTTCAGCATGGAAGTCATAACTGAATAGAACACTGAGATGACCTTATCTTTTTCATTCATTGTCTTGGAATTGGGTCTCATGTAAGCAAATATTCCAGAGCCATAATAGAGAACCACAACAGTAAGATGGGAACCACAGGTAGAGAAGACCTTGAGCCTCCCCTCCCCAGACTGCATCCGGATCACAGTGGAGATGATATGCCAGTAGGAGACAAGGATGAGGGAGACAGGAGCCAGGAGGATGACCACACCCATTGAAAAGAGAGCCATCTCAGCATTGTAAGTGTCTGCTGAAGCCAGCTTCAAAAGTGCGGGAGGTTCACAAAAATAGTGATTAATTACATTATCTCCCTGGTAGGGGAGACACAGTGTAAATGCACTGTCCACTGAACACACAAAAGCCCCAGTTATCCAGGACACAATAGCCAACTGGATACAAACGCTTTGTGTCATGATGGTGGAGTAGTGCAGGGGCTTGCACACAGCTGCATAGCGATCATAGGACATCACTGCCAGCAGTACACACTCTGTACACCCTGCTAGGAGGAAGACAATGATCTGTATCGAACATCCAGAAAAGGAAATGGTTTTCTTTCTCACAAGGAAGTGGACCAACATCTGGGGTACAATGCTTGTAGAGAAACAGAGGTCAGCAAAGGACAAATTCTTGAGAAAAAAGTACATAGGTGTATGAAGTCGAGAGTCAGTTTGAATAAGGATTATTATCAACAGGTTTCCAAATATAGAAAGAAGGTAAATGATCAGGAAGACACAGAACAACAAGATCTGGATCTTGGGATCCTGTGAAAGTCCCAGCAAGATAAATTCAGCCACAGAAGTTTGGTTCCCTTCTCCCATTGATGTTGCTTCCTATTTACCTGTCATCAGGGAGAGAGCAGAGGCATTCTGAGTTTTTGTTTTCACAAACTTCATAAAAAAACATGGTGTAAATTAATACATTTAGTTGAACTATTGGCTTTCAGTGGCTTCCTAGTTGGTGTTTGTTAGCATTAAGATGTATGCTGTTGGGACCAGCAATTAGCGTAATAGCTATGTCGCTGGACTCCCATGTAGTCGACCACGGTTCACGTCGTGGACCTGGTGGCTTAAAACTCACACGGGGCACGTGTGCATGTATGCCCAAGATCCTGAGAGGAGAATGGAGGAGAAGGGATTGCTGCGTGGCCATCCCCCCTGGGGGATGATTTCTCACTTTCCCTCTCTCTGTCTCTCTGTCTGTCTGGAGAGTGCACATGCCCTATAGCAAAAACCTCTCCAAAAAAAAAAAAAAAAAGATGTATGCTGTTGTTTCCAGAAATTTACAGTGTTCAAACATGTGTAGTTCTCTGATCTACTTGGAAGGCTACGTATCCCACTCTGTATGGTTTCTTAACTAACTCCAATGTCAAAAAAGTTAAGTATTACTGAGTTACTGTGGAAATACAGTAGGAGAATTTGATTCAATTTCAGTTTTACTTCTCAAGAAATACTTATTGGTTTCTTATACTTGCCAGAGAGACATGTATTAATAAAGAGAGAGGAAGCTGGGGAAAGTACCCCTCAATGGGGGGTAATTTCTCATGATCATTGTCATCTCATGAGTCATGCCACCCTCAATTGGGTATAGGTCTTTCACAATGACATATAGTCATACCATTTCTACTTTCCATCAGGATTTGGGTCATTCATGCATACATGCTTGGCATGTTTTTCAAGGTGGGGCCAGGATGTAAATCATCGTCAGTCATATGGGGTTCAGTTCGTAGCTGGTCCAAAATACTTTTTATTTATCTGGATTAGCACTCTGAGAATGAAATGAACTTACTCAATTAATAAAAACTCCTACTGCTTTTCAATTTCAAAATACCTAACAGCTCATCACAAAACAGAAGTCAGTGACAAATTTGTTTATAACAGTAGAAGGTTCGGCCATAATTTGGAGGGTCAAACAAATAACATGTGACATTTCTTCTTGCTTTTATCCATAATGTTTTTCTTTTTTAAAAGTTTGTCAGAGGTCACATGTGCTTGCCCAAGACAGAGAGAGAGAGAAACTTAAAAAGTACTGTCCACTGGCAACAGTCACACAGCAGTACCCTCTACTCCATTTCTCCCTTCTTTCAGGAGCTTGGGCACATATGCAAATATGCCTGTAGTGTCTTTCAAGCCACTGGGTCTGGGACTCAAACTATGCAGTAGGCCATGTGGGATCCAGCTACTTTAACATCACACCACCCGCTGGCTCCTCATAGTGTTTTTCTCTAAAGAGGCTTTTAAAATAGAAATCCAAATGGGAGAAAGGAAGAAAATCAAAATTTATGTCCATGACCCATAATTCTTCTCTGTATAAATACTTCACAAGGCAAGAAAAGTAGAGATGACTATGGTGCCACTGCATAATGCTGAAGCCTATAAAAAGGCCTTGGAGTTTGGATACCTAGTTGACTTCAACAGATTAGTTGCACCTACAGGAGTGCCTATGATCCTGGTTAGTTAGAAGGTTGAGAGATTGGAGGAGAATATTGCAATGTGAAGACCTTATCTAGAGTCTCTCTCTTTCTCCTCTCTTTCTCACTCTCTTTCTCTCCCCCTCCTTGTCTCATACAATAAATAAATAATAAAGAAGAAAAGTAGCATAAAAATGTGACATTCAGAAATGAAACATAATTAAGACTTGAACCATGGTCAGTCATATGGGAGTCCAACACCTCAACAACTCCACACCACCTGCTGATCCTCCAGACTCTTTTCTTATACTTTGTTTCCATCAATTTTGACACAGTCTCAACTCTTCTTTAAATATTTCTTTCTTTCTATTTTCTCTGGAACATCCATTACGTTTCTGTCAGTTCTTTTGTTCGTTATGTTTTCAGATAACTCACATCTTTTAAGTTTTTTCCTGATTTATGCTTTTAAAATATGTTTTATGTCTTTTCATCCTTCAGTTGAATGTTTTCTCTTTTCCTGTCTTCCTGTTCATGAATACTCTCTTTGTGTGCATCTAATATGTTGTAAAACCACCTTTTGTGTTCTTTTTTTTAAACATTCCGTTTTGGGTTCTAAAATCCTGGGGATTTTTCATAGTAGTGTTAAATTCTCTGGCTTGTTATCTAATATCATGGATATATTTTAATTCACAATATTTTAAAAGCTATGTCAGGTAACTCCAATATTGGGTTTCCTATTTGAGTTCCTATGATTTATTGTCTTTTTTTCTCTCTCTTTTGCATTTTTAAAATTTTTTAATTGACACTATTAAGTGTACATATTTCATTAAAAGACAAAAAAAGATTTTTGACTGAGAAAGTTTTAAAAACAAAATAACATAACATCTTAAGTAAACAATAGTTAACATCAAACCACATATTCAGTAAGTGTGACAAAGTGAAAGTCATTGATGGCTATGTAAATCTAAGTCTCATCACATATCTCTAATGTCAATACAGAAAAACAATAAAAGCAAACACTCACCAGGGCTAACAGTTTACTGTGGTTCAAGTCCTGGACCTGGCAGCTTGTTTTCTCACTTTATCTCACTCTCTCTTTCTCCCTCTGGTGAGCACATGTGCCCTATAGCAAACTGAAAAATAATCAAAATGATAAATAAAATAAATAATTACTAAGAAAAAAAGCTACACCAAAATCAATAGTTTGTTATAAATAGAAGGTAGAGAAGCTTATGCTTTACCTGAATTAGGAAGGAAAAAAAAAATCCCATAAACAGCAAATTATTTCTCATAATGGTGATGTAAATTTCCTCAGAAAATAACAATGTGACAAAAACAGAGAAAGAGGAAAAACTAGGGTACAGCTAATGAATGAGTTACAGTCACCATCAGAAAAAGAAAGTTCTCTTTAAGTGGAGAAACACTGGAAATGCGTCCCGCAAGTTTAGAACACTGACTTTGGGGAATTGAGAATGTGTGATTTAAGGAACCAGCATTAGAAAGGCATAATTTCTGAGATAAGTTTAAGGGGAAAGTGGAAGCAGAAGAAAAAAAAAGAAATATGGGAAACCTAGAGTCCTTGAAAGAAAAAAAGAGAGTTAAAAATCAAGGGCAACACAATATTACTTCCCCCCCCAAAAAAAAGATACATTATCTTTACCTTCTCCATCTCCTGTATTATGGCTGTTCCTTCTAATAAAGGAATAAATATATTTATCCTATTTCCCTCACTTTAAGCTCTTGAAATTGTGTTTTTTATTTCCCAGTGAATCTATTTTACATAATTCAAAGTGACCTTTCTTTCTTTCTTTCTTTTTATTATTATTTTTAATTTTTAAGAGATTTTTGCTATAGAGCACATGTGCTTACTGGAGAGAGAGAGAAAGACAGAAAGTGAGAAATCACCCTTTGGGAGAATGGCCATGCCACAAGCCCTTCTCCTCCATTCTCCTCTCAGGATCTTGGGCACCAAGGCACACATGGGTGGGTTTTAAGCCGCCAGGTCTGAGACTTGAACCACAGTCAAGTACGTGGGAGTCCAGCGACATAACCATTATCCCATCTCCTGGTCCCCCAAAGTGACCTTTTGGTGGCTAACCATATTGTTTTTGCTTTTAGTTATCTTGCTTGACCTGTCTTTAGTCACATTTAAAACTACAGATACCTCCTGAAGCTGCTCTCGTTTGTCTCCCCTTGTACTTCTCTTTATCCTGGTGCCATCTTTTCTTTTCATTTATGGTCTTTTTCTTTCTGTTTCCCTCTTTTCCTCACTTTCTGAGTCTATGCATTTTCTCCACATAACTCACCTGCCATTTTGACTTCAGTTATTTAATTGTTGATGACTCTTCAGTTTCTACAAAGTGAATGAGGGTTTTTTCAAAAATAATTCTAATTTACATATCAAAATTTCTATTGGACATCACTGACAATTCTTGCATATATTACAGAAATAATAGTAACAGTGATGATGATGGTGATAGTATAAGTTTTGATGATAACTTGGTTTTAATATGTGCTCTATGAGTTAATAAATTATCTTAAATTAGGTAAGATAGATATATCTCAGTTTCTACATTTCTAAAATGAGATATCAGTGTCTAATTTTCATTCATTTGCTGCAAGGAATAAATGTAGTCATTTTCATAAGCATAAAGTTAATATTTGACATATGCTAAATTTTAATTATCTAGAATATTAGTAAATATGTATTATTTATTATACATACGAAGATACTTTACATGCATTTTCCAATTTAACTTTCAATTACAACCAAAACTTTGATTTGTTTCTATAACTTATATTCTACACAGATACTCCTGGTGATTTTTTTTTTTTGTATTGGTGCTAATAACACAGTTTCCTATACTAAAAGTGAGTTTTTTAATTTATTATCTCCTTTACCTTCCACATATTTGACAATTAAAGATTAATAAGATATTCACCTCAGAAGATTCCAAATCTCTCTTCTCTATATTCCCAGTGTCACCAACTTATGTCATGACCCCATAGCTGCTGTTTATTTTAGCTATCACCTGACTCCTATATTGCTTCCTCCAACTTATTCACATATAATACAATAATCTTTTGAAAATGCTGATCTTTTCATTTTCAATCCCCATTAAACCAACTCAATAACCCTCCATTACTCATAGAATTTAGGCCAAATGCATATTCCAGGCCTTGAACATTTCTGACTTGCTGCAGATGTCTGCGAGGCATTGCCCCCTACTTGCTCTTAGCCAATGTCCTGTCACACTGAAAGGTACACGCACCCGTGCCTCTGCCAACAGTGCTTCCTCTCTGGATGTTTACTTCTTGCTTTAACAAAATGATAAATTACCAGTCATCCAACGCTACTTTCCCCTACTGCCACCTCATTCTAGTTTTCACTGACTTCATTAACCTGAGTTT